GAGTTATAGTAACTGTGATGGTTTCTTTGCCTTTTTATTTTTGAGTTGTCAAAACCAACATTTAGGTCATTATGATGACTAGCTGTGTTAAACAGGGAGACCCAAACTGCTTTTTCATTGAAGAAGAGAAACAATGATGGAGGCCTGAGACAATCTTACCTTAGATGCTGGTCTGCGTAGGTCAACTCCGCCATGCAAATCTCCCCTGAACTTCATGTTTGTATGTAAATCTGAAGCTTAATTTCCTCATGGCTTCTTCCTGTGTCATTTGACTATGAAATGTAATACAGTAAGGGTAACAGTACTGCCTGTGTCTCAGTTTACAATGCTGAGCATTGTGTTGCCTTGTGCTGAAGCAGTGTAAAGTATAAAATCCCTTTTTGAAGAGTGGCGCTCTTTTACTGCAAGTTTATAAATAAACATTTTTGCACAAATGCTGCGATCACATGATGACTTAAAAATAACACGGATCAGGGAGGAAGTTTGTGGTAGATCATCTCATTTTTTTCCATTTATGATATTTCTGGGTTATATGAACATGTCATGGTCTTTTTTCTGCATATGCATCTTTAATGCAGCCTGGCTGTTTTTGTTGTTGTTTTATGGTGATATTTGAATTATTTGTAAATAAACGATAGCTCCAGCTGTCTTTTCCACACCACTACCACTGTGTAAAGTTGGAGCAATACCTGATGTTTACAAATATTGCTTGTTTTGTTTGTGATCTCACTGTTTGTTCCAGTGAAGTAGAAAAATCTTTATTATACCTATTAACATTCATTTAAACCCTTTTCAGTCTTTCAGCAACCAGTTAATGAAACTAGATCTCAAAGATAAAAGATAATTATCATCTTACACTCACACATTACTTTGTTGGGTACACCTCATCTATTCAGCCTGTCCATTTGACAGGCTGAAGCAGGACCTCCTTCTTTTTCCATACTTATAAGATTTTGAAAGCATTAACGTATGAATAGAAATATGTATTTTTGATCTGGAGATGGTGGCCGTGAGATCAGAATTCAGACCTCATGAACAGTTGGGATGATGTGTCCAACTGAAAACTTGTCTTTCACTTTATCAGGTTGTAATCTGATAATGTGGGTCACAGATTTAAATAATCCACACCGGGCAGTTTACCTTTGATAAGCTCGCCAGCCCACGATGATGTCATCACGGTGGGGGGAAAGATGATGTGCGATTAGGCTGAAAAGAGTTGGAGAGGACCGGAGGTAGTCAGCTTGGTGGATGTGTGTGGGTTGAGGTCAACAGGAGCTTATATGAATTCCTGTACGTGTATTTATTAGCAAAAAGTATTGCTTTAAAAAATGCATGTTTTTACTAATACATACATTTACTGAAATACTCATTTCGAAATATCACGTTTCACACGGAACCAGTTAGTCACTATACCAGGCTGTTTGTACTGTAAATGATTTGGAAACAAAAGTGTTATACAGCATATCCAAACCAAAAAGACTGAGCAACAAATTTACAGTCATGTTGAATTCACGTTTTCATCGCTCACATCCGTGTTTGTTTCAGCCAGCAGTCGTTTTCCTCTGATTACTGCCCTCTGCAGTTGTCAGCAGTGGTTGCATAAACAAAAAAGGCACAAATGCTGCAAACAAATGCACAGACTGCACAAACATGTCGGGTCTGCCAATCAAAAGATTTTTCCACACAGCAAGCTGTGGTTGATAAAAATCCTCAGGGTACCTTTAAGTTTAAAGGATAGTCTCCAAGACCGCTGTTAAGTCACTGTCTTACAGTAATGTATTAATAAAAAGTCTGTGCCTGTGGTGGCATTTCTGGAAAAATAAATGCAGTTTAATTTACTGTCCTCATGCTGCAGCTCCACAGAAAAAGCATTTAACTAGCTCAGTAAAATTGGCATCCAGTGTTGTGGTCACAGATAATGTAATATGTTTATCTGCGCTGAGAACTTGCCAATATTATTCATGGAAAAAATGCATCTACGAAGAGGAAACGAGGAGCTAGTTTGTTTTTCTGCTTCCAGATTTCTCTGACCTGCAGTGTGAAACCCCATTTTCTAAATGTTCTAATATATTAGAACTTAAATATTCATAATTTCCTCTTTAATACACAAAAACATAATAAAAAAGCTTAGTTTCTCTGTCTTATCCCTCTTTGTTTTTTTCCTCCCCGTCTGCATGTCCTTGATTGGTTTTCCTTCCTGCTGTTATTCTTCTTCTGTCATTTACACTCATTCTCAGTCTAAATTATTGAAAATGGTCACAATACCTTTAAGCTCTTGTCCCCACCTAGAAATTTAACACCACTGATTTACAAAGCAGCAGCCACAGCAGCGGATATCCATAACACCGAAACAGATGCTTGCTTTTAAAGAATAACCCCAAGAGTTCCCGTATATAGCTGCGCTCATTAGTTTACATGCGCTTATCATGGGTATGAATGTCATGGTAATCCTGGGCTTTTAATGATTTCTTTGAACTCTTCTTTTTCCGGCATGGAACGATTGTACGACACACATTTTTAATGACTTTGAAAATTAGGTGCACATGTTGGGATTTATTTTTGATTTTTTCTGTTATCCACACAGGATCAAAAGTCCACCTCCAGGCTCAAATATATGCGTGCACTCACTAATGAGTAGTACTGAAGGTTCTATAGTGTCCTGTAACTTACCAAGGCCTATTAATGTCTCATTAATGGTCATAATTGACTACAGTTGGTAGTTTCTCTTTGTCAGCATAAAAAAGATTTGTTTGACAGTAGAGCAGGGCGATATGGCCAAAAATATTTATCACGATATATATTTGAAAATTTGCGATAACGATATAACTGACGATATAATTGATGCGAGACAAAATACAACTCCACAACATTACTAGCGCAAAAAGACAACCTTCCATTTATTTTCACTTAAACAAGAAGCTGGTTTTTATGTACATTAAAGCTTTATAAAAATGTAACAGTGCAAATGCAAATTCCTTGCTGAAAGTTTAACCAAAAGGCATTTCCAGTAGAAATGGGCTGACATATCCTGAGCATAACCATGTATAATATCCACTGAAGTTAAAAAGAGGTGCTTTGCAACATTAAACTGCAGTGTGCAGTACGTATTTTTCGGACCATAAGGTGCACGGGATTATAAGGCACATTAAGCGAAACAAAGCAGTCAGATAAATCAAACTTTATTAAACTCATTCTTCTTGCTTCCTCCACTTCTGTACCATTGATTCATTAATGTTGAATTCTCTGGCAGCTGCTCTATTCCCATGTTGTTGCAGTATATTAATGACTAACCTCGTATTGTGGATGGATTATCTCAGTTGTTCTCCTGACTGAAGTTTGGTCCGTTTACAGCATCCTGCCATGCGATTGCATTTGTCTCTAACCATGAGGAACCTTCACGTTAACTTTTATAAGTGGAAAAGTGTTAGTGTTGTCCTCCAGCTTCACTGTTTATGTTATGCTAACATAGCTGTGTCGCTAGCGATCACGTAGCACATCATTATATACCAGCTAGCCCAACTTCAGTAACCCTACAAACGTCACTGCTGTTTAGTTTCCTGTCTTCATTTATGTTGGAAGTGATAGCAGAGCTGTAGTTTGTAATTTTTTCAGAAATCTCTCAGTCAGAACATGCTAATATCATGCTTAGGTAACTAGCGAAACTAGCGAGCTAACTTCCGCTAGCTTCCTGCTAACTTCTAACTCCGTTAAATGTAAAACTTTGTTTTCATGGATGCCTGGAAGTTAAACTTTATGTTACACCTGGTAAAGCAGCAATGCTGATCGTTTTATTAAAGATGAAAGAATTTAGACAGTTTTTAACTCTTAGTGATGCTGCAGTGTTCGTTTGACCATACGGAGTTTAGGACCCAGATTACTCCCAGATTTAAGAGCATCTTAGTCCGACAAATACGACAATAACGACGGCCGCTTGCATGTTCTGCAAAAAAATGTGCTTTGTTGTGTATCTGACGGACAAACACCAAACCAGTTCCACATCACTGAAGTTGCACCATTTTTACAAACCAATTCTGGTTCATCTGTTTCACTCAACAATCGGCCATGTGCGTATGAAAACAAAGGCACTGCGCATGCGCGTTTTACTCCCATATCTATCGCGATATTTCATTTTCCTATCGTTGCCTAACATTATACCGGTATTACCGTGAACGGTATAATATGGCCCAGCCCTATTTGACAGCACTCACTGAATTCACTAATCCTCTGAAAGCTGGGAAAGCCCCCCTCCCTGAGCCTGGTTCTGCCTGAGGTGTCTTCCTGTTAAAAGGGAATTTTTTTCCTTCCCATTGTCTCCAAGGGCTTGCTCAAAGGTTGTCATTTGATTGCTGGTCTTTACCTTACAATATACAGTGCGTTGAGACCAATCCGCTATATAAATAAAACTTAATTGAATTGGAAATCAGTATTTTCTGAAGGTCTAACGTGAGCTTTGAAGCACCATAGACTGGGAAAGTGCTGACCAAGAAAGAAGCTCCTGCTCCAAAATTAATACTTTTAAGCTCAACTGAGTTTGTGGACTAAAAGCGGGGTCCATTCAAGAAACCAATCACTTTAAGTGAACTATAACAATTCTGCCAAGAAGATCGGTCAAATGTGCAGCCAGAATTATGCCAGCAGCTTGTTGATGGCTACCAAAGGCGTTTGGTTGAGGTGCAACTTGCTAAGGGACATTTAAGCAAATATTAGTGGGTGTTTGAAGGTGTATGTATACTTTTGAACCTGTGTGGATTAGAGAAAATCCAAAATAAATTAAAAAATGTGCACCTCAAGTTCTGAAAACTCATTGTGATATTTGTTTGTTTGTTTTGTAAACATTTTTAGGTTCTTTTTTATTTAAGTTTTTTATTAAGTATTCTTTTCTCACAATCCCATATGCAGCTGCATGTGACTCCTTTATCTCTATGGTTTAACTCTTAAAATCTACATTATAACCCCTAGAATTCATTAAAACTAAAAGGTTAAACACTTAAACTCTCCAGATGACACTGTGTCGGCGAGCAGTAACATGGACATGGAGGATCGGGTGTCTCACTTGGAGCAGAGGCTGCAGTTGCAAGAGGACGAGATCCAGCTGCTTAAGGCGGCTCTGGCTGATGCCCTGCGCCGGCTCGGCTATTGTGAGGAGCAGAGCCAAGGCAAGCAACCAGCAGGCGTTCATGCTGGGAGGAGATCTCTGGCCACTACAGCTGCGGCACCACCTACCAAGGGTAGGTAACATCAGTGCTTCTGTAAAGCTGTAATATGTTGCTGCTTTTCATATTCCAAGATAAATGTCATTGCTCTCCAATCAGGTGGTTTCAGATCCCAACTATATCTGTGCTGCAGTTCTTAACTTTTACTATGTTAGTATTTAGAAATGATATAAATACCTTAAATTGACTTAATCCTGCTACTGCTAAACTATTCACAAAAAATACATGCTGATATAAAATCATACTTTCTTTTAATTTACGTTTGTCACAAGTCAGAATGGCCAGCCACCGCTAAAATGAAAGCTTTGTGTTGTCAGTTGAACAAGCTGAGCATGCAAATCACATTTGCTTATATGCCAAATATAGAAATCTTCTGTTTCCCTTGATGACATTGATCTGGAAGTGGTAAATTAAAAGTTTAACTGGGGTCTGGAACTGGGAAGCTGTACGCACTTTGTGCTCATGGCATTTTCTTTTCTTTCAGTGCGACAGCTCCTGCAGGCTCTTCCCTCCCGACCTCTGAGTAATGGCTACATTCAACAGAAACGTCTCCTTTCTTCGCCTTCATCTCCAAAGAAAGAGGTGCTACAGTCTATAAAGAGGTAGGATTAAGAATGGAAAGCAAAGATGCTGAACACAACATAACAAGACTTTTCATTTTTCGTTTGCAAAGGTGTCCTATTTTTTAATCCCCTATTCACGTTAATAAAAATGGAACTGCAATTTGATGTATTCTTTAATTGACAGTTAAAGTTAATTTACTTTTATGTAAAATAGCATCATCAAGTACACTTTACTTTCTCTTGTTTGATACTTTAAGTTTAATTGACTAGGCATTAACTTAGCAATCAACTGTTGTTTTTAATCCTCTTTTAACCCAATTGTAACTTCATGTAAAAAATGGTAATGTTACAGTTTGTTCATCAAAACATCAAGAGTTCTCCCTCCTCTTCCCTTCTTCAGAAAGAGTATGTCCACAGAGCGTCTCACCCTGGTGAGGAGAGAGATGGGGGCGGAGAGTCGGAGTCGAACAACATCCTCCAGCAGCTCCTCTGGTGGCAAAAGGTAACAGCCTTTATCTGAGGGCTGGTGTGAAAATCTATGGACAACTCTTAATGTTTGGGACACTAAAGTATTGACCACAGAGTAAACACTGTTGTTTGTCAGATAATGCAATAAAAGTGCTCCAAAAGGCAACAACACACAAATATTTTAGAGCGAGTCAAAGTGGTGAAGCTGAAATCCAGCAGAGAGCCAAAAGCCTTCCTGCTTCCCACAGGTTTATCAAAAATATCCCTAATAATGCATAACTTAAAGCCTTAATGCTTACATGGGTGAGTTATAAGAAAGGTTCTACCTCTACATTTGTCCTTTAGGGGAAATCTACCAAAATAATGCTGCGCATGTTCTGCTCATACATGCAACCCCTTCAGATTTTTCCGGTGGAATCCCGAATTTCAGTGCCCCTCCCGAAAATCTCCCGGAGCCACCATTCTCCCGAATTTCTCCTGTTTTTCCACCTGGACAACAAAATTGAAAAACCATATCCCAGAATTCATAGCGCGGCCCAGCCAATTCCAGTTTCCAACAATGGCGGCAGCTACTTAGTTTTATTACTCCTTCTGGATCGCAAAATAAACTTTTAGCAGATTTTGAGGAGGAAATGTAGCAGTGTGAACTTCAAATATCTGAGCCGGCGAGAACAGCAAACTCCTGGCACATCGTTTTCAAACCCCCGCGGTCTTTCGCTACTCAGGTTAAACATGATATATAAATCACTTAGATAACCTAAAAGTGATATTGTTTGACTTTTTTCAGTGTTTTATTTGTTCCTCAGTAAAACGGTTTGGCTAGGATTAAAGTTATTACATTAGATTAAATACAACTTTATTAATCCCTCAGTGGGTTCCTCCAGGGGTTTTCACACAGCTGAATAAACGTCAAACAGAAAACAGAGGTGTGAGATGGTCCCAAATTTGCGCCAGCGTCCGGTTATATCTGGATAGCAAGGAGCAGACGGCAGAGTTTCACTCCACCGAGAGAGCCCGTGACGTAATTCTGAAGGCTAGACCGTCACAGTCACTCACTTCCGGCCTACCCGGCTTTTAGAGGACCTGGCCCACGTGAGGAGGGGTCCTCACGTGGATGCAGCCTCTGAATTTGGAAAGCCCCGGCTGGGGACAGTAATAACGGTGACATTTAACTTTAAATAAATAGTGTTAAATAAATAAATGCTGTAGAATGCCAGTTTTTTTTTGTATATGTATAACCTACACGCCCCTTTTTGAATGCCTCCATAATTCTGAGGTCTTAAGATTGGCAAGTATGGTTCTGCTGTGAGGCTGAGCCTTGCAGTGGAAAAACAGTCATTATAAGTCATTAGGTTTGGGCGTTACAGCATAGGAGTCTGTCTCAAGTGGTCATTTTAGGGATTGCAGTTTTCACCACATCCAAGCAGGCTTCATTTTTCATCCCTGGAGATTGCTGCTCAACTGTGTTGCCATGACAGCCAGTCTGAAAACTTTTTTTCTAACAAACTGTGGGTCAGAAGGACTGTGATGAAGTTCAGTGGGTTAGTCGTAATGAGCTGTCTTACCGCTGCACTGTCTTCTGTCTGTAGGCAGACTTAAGTGGCAGTAATTGAACCAGTCTGGCAGTCTGTCCCAGTCAGATGCTGGAAAAACGGTGAAGAACAAGTAAAATAATAAGCAACCTGACCCTTTACAATGTATGTGGAGATACTCTCCATCCATTGTCATCCCAGAAAAGTGCAAAAAAATTGTTATTATAAAGAAAGCAGTGTCAGTGTAAATTTAAGTCCTAATATAGTATCTAGAGAAGATCATAGTATTTTAGGTATAACAGTAGGTTCAGTGTCAGATACCTATCATGGATAAAATGAGCATGTGTGCGGTACACCTACAGGACAACATAGACGTGTGTAAGTGAGGCTTCAGTTATTCAGACTGTTTATCTGATTTTTCTCACCAACTGTTAAGTTTCTACAGTCAGTACAATAGATTCCAGATGTTTGGAGTTACTCAGCTGTTTGTCTTTAAAATGCTGACTTTATAATGGACACTGATGTAGCAGCATACCACAGCAAATGAATGAAACATGTGGGTCCCTCATATAAGCGAACAAATATTGAAAACATTTATCATTGGTTATCATAGTCAAGAGATCGCAGATACACACAGTGAAAATGAGCTTTCTCTGAGGGGTGGCTGGCCTCCCCCTTAGAGAGAGGGTGAGGAGTTCGGCAGTCCGGGAGGGGCTCAGAGTAGAACTGCTACTCCTCCACATTGAAAGGAGCCTGTTGAGGTGGTTCAGGCACCTGACAAGGATGCCACCTGGGTGAGGTGTTTTGGGCATGTCCCACCGGGAGGCGGCCCCGGGTCAGGCCCAGGACTCGCTAGAAAGATTATATCTCTTGGCTGGCCAAGGAATACCTTGGAGTTCCTCCAGAAAGGCTGGAGGAGGCCATGGAGTGAGAGGTCTGGGGTTCTCTACTTAGGCTGCTGCCCCCGCGACCCGGCTCCTGATAAGCGATAGAAGATGGATGGAGGGATGGATGGATGGATTTTTCATCAAACATCAGTTCAGTCTTTGGTTTTACTCTTGTTATTTTAAATCATCCTCTCAGAGGTGTTGATGCCATCTAAAACTGGGAAACAATAAAAATGTTGCTCTTTAATAGGATTATTTTTTTTGACAAGGGCATAGTTACATTTTTGAAAAGGCAATTTAAAAGAGAGAGCACAATTTTGGGGGGTATTTCAAGACACCGGTGTTTGTTTGTTAATTTTTTTTATGTATAATGACCACAGTGATCACCACTGACAAAACTGCAGAAAGCACATAAAATGGGCCACATGCAAACTACTTTAATCTTAGGTGGGTCAGACCAGTGAAACTCTGCTTCCTGTCGGCTCAAGGAAGTTTTTTACACATTTAATCGCTGCGATATCTTAATATAAGAAAAAGAAGATACATTTCAGCAGTGCGTGTCAGTTTTTTTACATGATAAAGAAATGCTGCTGTGGTAAATTAAAGAAATCTGTCAGCAGAACTCTCTGGTTCAAATTGGAAGAAACTGTAAAAGTAAAGTAAAACTTTACTTCACTGACTGTCCTTAATTGGAATTTTACTGCTGTGTAACCATGGTTTAAAAAAAACCCACAAAACAAGACAAAAACAAAAACCCAGAAATGTCTAAATAAACATTTTCCAAAGCATCCAGTGGACTCGATTATAGTCTTTGGCGGCCTGATTCTGATCCTTATCTCTACTCTGTTCTACTCTGCTCTACTCTACTCTGCTGTCTCCTTTACTCCTTTCATTCAAGTATCATGTTTAACAGTTCTTGGTAAAAGGGAGGTGTGGTAGTTGTGCAGAAAGGGGCGTGCCTGTACAGTAAGGAAGTGGATTCTGATTGGATGATATGACCTGATTTCTCTCCTCTCCTCTACTGTCTCCTTTACTCCTTTCATTCTGCTGATGTATCATGTTTCTAACAGTTCTTGGTAAAAGGAAGGCGTGGTAGTTGTGCAGAAAGGGGTGTGCCTGGACAATAAGGAAGTGCATTCTGATTGGATAATATGACCTTTCAGGCTGAGCTAAAAGTTTGCAGAGTGAAGGAGGAAGTCCGTGTGTTGGTGTGGCTTTGGACAGGAGAAGAATCGCTCTGACTGCTCACCAGTGTTGACGTTTAGTGTAACGGAAACCTTGCAGACATGAAGAAATCACCCAGGTAAATTGCTGCTTTACAATGAGTAGTCAATGATTAACTAGAATTGAGTAGAAGCAGACTTTAAGCAGAGATGGTATATTTGGGAATCATTTGAAAGGCAAAGACATGCTAATTACGACCTAAGTTGTTTGCATGTCATAAAGGAAACTGTGTAGCTTTAAACCTTGGATGGCTGGTTGGTATCTCCATAATGGAAAATGAATACACAGCTTTTATAAAGAGAGGTACTTGTTTTTGTTACAACTAGTCCCTCAGCTGCAGTTTAAATGAAAAGAAAATTAAATACAGTTTTTATTGGTAGGTAAATGGCTTTACCCTCTGAAATGTTTGGTTGTTTTCACTCCAAACAAAGTCAGCAGTCAGTGCTTAGGTTTGAAGACATTCAGGGGAAGTGGTGCTGCTTTTTGAAACCGTTGTCACGCAAACCATTAGATGCAGTCGGGTTCTCTGTCTGCAGGGCTGTGGGGAGGGGCAGCTGCATGGTTACATGAATAAAACAACAAAGCTTGATGAGTTCATCGACCATGAGCCTAATGGCAAGGGGCAGGTCTTATGAAAAAATGCTAAACTGTGTGATACTTTGAGTTTTTAAATGTTTGGTTCAAACAAATATGAATAAGGTGAGTTACCAATGCTTATTTATTTAGCTAACATTCACATAACAAGCGCATTCAAAGTAAAAACCATCTATCTGCCTGTTGTGAAAATAATTTTTTTTCCTGAAGTGTATTCCTTTATTACAAACTCATTACATTATGCAAATGCTAAACCATTTTAGGCGTAAGCTGCTGTTTTGGCTGCTAATGAACATTTCTGCCTGGGTATGAAACGCACACAGACAGATGGGACTCAGTGAATGTGATGTGACATCGGACCAGTCGCTCTGTACTCAGCAGATCTGTCGGCTAACTCATTATTCTGTTAAACCTGACTGACTCTGACAGCAGATGAGACAGAGCTCCTGCTTTACTGGACACCCTGAACTTCAACAAGAATATTACACATGTTCAGGTTTTACAAAGTACCCGTCATCATCTGCTCTACTTTAATTTGCTGCTGAGCTTGGTGCACTTTTATATACTAATATATATTTATATACTAATTCATTTTCAAGTTTCAAGTTTCCAAATTAATTCATTGATTTCCGAAACAAGTTAAAAGTAGCTAATTGAGCATCAATTCAAAATGCTCCTAAGACTTTTGTTTAGTAATCCTCTGTAGCATTATGACCAGAGATGGGAAGCTGTGGGACTGATGTTACCATTATCAATTCTGCACAGCTTGCAGAAACATTGATAACATTGATTGAACATCCTGCTCTACATGCAGCAAACATACTGAGCATGTGTCTGATTGGAGAGGACTATTTTGCACCACATTGGACCAGTTTAACATCAATGTGTCTGTCTTTATTTTCATATAATAAGTCATTTCAAAGTTAGGGTAGCACGAGTATTGTACAGGGTTTGCATACACTACGGAAAAGGAAAAGATTCATATCATGTTCAGTCTGTCATCTCCTTTTTGTGTTTGTATCACTTGGATCTAGAATGCATTACATGGAAAAACTGTGCCTTCAGCATTTGCTTTTTGAGGTTTATAATTTTACAGGAAATCTGAAGTTGGTTAGATGAAACTCTAATGATCGTTAGAATCAGAATAAAGCATAACATTGGATTAAAAATGCAGATTTTTCTTATTTTTCTTCCTCCCCTTTTGCTATCTGGAAACTGTCTGATGCCTCATAAGTGTCAGAGTTGATTAGTGTATGACGAAAACAAAATAAACTAATGTATTTTGCGCACAAGTGAAAATATGAAGAAAGTCAACTATGTTCATGTCTATTGTTATAGCTGCTGCAGTACTTAAGTCCTAATTGAGCAGGAAATGGATGCATGCACTCTTGACCGCTCCCACCACTCCCACCACTCCCACCACAGTTCAGGGGGATGAGTCCCATTACTCGGACCACAACATCTTCTGCCTCCCTGTGTGTAACACTCTAATCTCCCAGATGGATGGAACTAGTACTTAAGAGTTCCTATAAGAAAGAGAGAAGGTGTCTCTTGTAAACCAAACAAATGCTCTTTGCAAGTTTGAGCTGCAGGAGTAAAAATATCCGTTTATTATTTCAAACCACTAAATTTAGGATAAAATATCCTGATTTTGTTGCTTGCAAAAAGTGGTTAAAGTTCAATATATTCAAAGTGACAAATGGTCCAGCACAAAAATGTCGGTCCTTTTAATCTTTCTGCAGATGCACCGGGCTCATTAGTGCCCTCTGGTTCTTACAAGAACCCTTTGTGTTTTCAGAGAGCCCACAGAAAAGGCCAACTACACCCTCGGTGCTGCATGTTAATGAGAGGTCTGTTTGTGCGTTCCCTCTGCCTGGAAACCCGGTGACTAGTGACGGCCGCTGCCGTTGGGTTGTAGAGGCAGAGTTATGTGCCCTGTCCGGCTGCCAGTTGCGCAGCATGGACCGCCATAATTACAGGTTCTGGATCAATCGTGTTCTGTTATTGGCCAGAGCCATGCCACGCCTCATCTTCCTGGCAGACCACACTTACACATGCACACAAACAGAAACACATGCTCGCAGTTCAAGGAACAAACAGGGCTTTATGTGGTTGCTTTAAAGAGCCGAAACCCCTCCTGGTCGCCTCTAACTGCCCAGAGACACAACAGACACCGCACAGGCCCTCGGATGACTCGTCTGTTTGCTCTGCTGTCCTTTAATCTTCTTCAAACACACACGCAGGCTCTCATCTCATTTTCCTGTTTTCTTTTTGCATAGGTCCCTTGTTCACATTGTAACAAACCTATAAAAGAAATCTCAAATCATTGTTTCAGTTGACCCGTAAGCTTAGAGAGCTATTGACATGTCTCAATACTGTCAAGATTTTATTTAGTAAACTCCCCATTAAACAAATATCAGGATACACACGGCACAGCCTGGGGTCTTTTCATGTTTGTATGCCGCAGTCTTTCCCACTCACTCAGTTTCTTTATGTGTTACTTTCATAATGCAGCCTTGGTAAAGCTTCTTTTTGTCAACTAGTCTGTTTTTTGAACCGACCCACCAGGTATGGAGGTTTCATGCTTTCAGGTTTTCCCTCTGTGGTGTTAACAATTCTTTTGAAAGCCTTCAGGGAGATTCCTCATATTTGACATAAATGTTCAAAGAGGTAGTGATTAGAATATGTGGCAAAATGTCTCCTCACAAAACGCATATCACCAGGAACCAAAAGATAGCTTGTGTCCAAAATCATTCACCTAATGTGGAACTACTGGAAAAATGAAAAAGGTTGAAAAAGACACATTCCAGGTTTTTGTTTGTTTGTATTTCTTAGTCATACTCCTCCTACAGATCCATGCATAACAGATCAAGGCTGGATAACTTAAGTACAGCAAATAAATGGATATTTTATTGAAATTATTAGTGAGTACTCAGGGTTTCAGACCAGCCATGTGTGGTTGGTGATGATCTTCAGTGCCTGCTTATTACATTCTTCCCTTATGAGCCTGAACAGATATTGGATTTAAACCTAAATCTAAACTAACTTTGCTATAGTAAGATGTTGATTCTAGTTTGAGTGGTTTATCTTTGTTTATCTGTGAACCTGAGACAAATGTCCTGTGTCACTGCAGTTTTCCTCATAGTACTCTTCTGTATTATATGACTTGCTCTGTGGTTGTACAATAAATCTACATGAGAAGAAGTGTGTTTGCTGCTGTTATTTGTTTGCCTGTGTTTCCATAGAAATACTCAGAAAAGTCACGCACGTCTTTCTTGATTCTCTTGTTGCTTTGCGAGGACCAAACCTCCATTTCCCTCTTATCGTATCAAGCCTTACCTTTATTGCTGTTGCCATGGTGACATCCAGCTGTCAGCCGAGGCAGCGCTTCAACATCCCGATTGGTTGATAGCATCCAGACAGGTTAGGTTGAGTTCTCAGCATGCGCTGAAATGCTTGGCAGGCAGTTCTGATTGGGTGACAGCCGATTCAGGGACATCTGCAGCTCTCGCTGATGTGGCAGGTTTTGATTGGCAGGTCTAATCACGGATCCTGGCAGAGTGGCTGACTCGCCGGTTGTCATTTTTACTTGTAAATGCATTTAGCTTGTCTGTGTGGCATCTTTTAATTCTGACCACTGCGATGCTTCTCTGTCACACTGTTTCACATCTGCCGTGTGTTTCACTGATAGGCGCTGACACTGTCTGCGAATACAAGTGGACTTCTGTTTGCTTTGTGTCTGCTGACTCGTCTTTACAAACCTGTTTACACAGCAGAACTAGCAAGTTGGAAAGCTTTAGGCATCAAAGATAATGTTAAAGAAATGTGTATCAACTTGCCCGGCCCGGGGCAAATACAAGCTACTTTGTTGTTTTCTTTATTTGTTTCGCCAAGTTGAGGATAAAAGAAATTCATCAAATTTTTTATCAAACCAGCCTTTCAGTATCAGGTCTTCTGGTCCTCTGTGTATCCAGGCCTGTTACCTACTATTCCCAGGTGATAGTTTATATTCATATTCTAGGAATATAAGAAATGAACCTTTAAATCCTAATCAAACCTTTAGACCAGTTGCTGTGTTTGATAACTGTGAACCACAACAAAGCCGCACGATTTATACCCCAATTCCTGTTTTGTTTTATGTTTTTTCTATGAATATTCAAAGAAAATTAATCTGTTAGATATTCTTTGATATGTTTTCTGACACGGCATGAGTTTGACCAGACTACTGGTCAAAGCCATCCATCCTATGAATGACCTACCCGCAGAAATCTCTACAGCACCACTATTTCTTTTCTCAGGTGAAGATGTTATTTACATTAAAGTGTGCCATACTGCATCGTAGCTATAATCGTATGCACCAGATCTGATCTTTCCAGTTCCTGCCTCAACTGTCAGCTGGTTGTTGACATGTCTGGGCTGATTGAAAGCTCCTCAGGCCTCTGCTTATAGTCCTTGCCATCAGTGGTGCAGTTTCTAAAGTAATCTAAGGAGTGTAAATAATCACCTTTCTCCAAGGTCATACTGGAAATGTTGCGTGTCAGGTATGACTCATTTTGTTAAAAATATACTTTTCACTTTGTCTTCAGACTACATCATCTGATCCTCTGAAGGCGAAAAGTTGTGCACATCTTTGGACATGTGTGGTACACTCTGTGTGTGTCTGCCCTCTATTTTCAATTAACTGTGGGTGAGAGATGTAGCATGAGTAAATAATTTATAAAGACATAATATACCCACCTCTCAGCACTTTCGGAAAATGATTGTAACATTCATGCTGTTTATCGTGTAATGTGCAAAATAATATTAATTGAAGTCGTAACACCATTTTTCTTTTTGTGTTCCAGCAAATCCAAAGAATGCACTTTCAATGCAGGTAAAATAAAATTTTAATCCCACCATTGCTTTGCTTTTGTCTGTATTGTTCTGTGCGTGCGTGCGTGTGTGTGCGTGTGTGTGCGTGTGTGTGTGTGATAATTGCGTTAGCTGTTATGTCTCAGCCTCCAATTACTGTCACACTTTAATTTGCTGTAAAGGGGATGAGCAGCCTCTCATGTGTGAAACTCAATTAGCCTTCAGGAGTCCTGGAAGAACTCTTGAAGGATTCTTCTGACTGTCATTTCAAAGAAATGCATTTTCTCATTAGAGATAGTGATGTCCCATTTTAATTATTTTAGAGGATGTTGGAAATGCAGAGGATCTCCCATTAAGATGAGTACGAGACTACTGGAGATTTTGAATACGTTGTAAAACAAAAGATCTGTAATTGCTGGAAAGTGTTTAAGCATGTGAAGCTGTTTGTCTGTTTATGCATTTTCCCATTAATATATATTTAACAAGCAAAAATGTGACATCTTTTTAAGCACTGGCGAATTGTGAGGTGGTGTGCTGTTTTGCTATTTTAACTCCGTGGTTTTTTTTCTGTTGGACATTTATGCAAATTAGGTCAAATTAATTAAACTTATGCCTCATTGCATGCAAGACTTTATATGAAAAGATAATCGTCTACATGGAAGGAAGCAGCTATGAAAGTTTTATGCTGCGTTACTGTATCCTTGTTACATTTTATACCAGCAAATTGCTTTTTATTCAATTAAAAAAAAAAAAAAGGTATAAACTTTATATCACATGGATTTAAAGTCTTTTAAAAAAACTTCAGCAACACTTGCATACAACAAATTTTCCAGTTTTAGTCCTGTCTGTATTCTGAAAGGATTTTTTTTTGTGAGAGGCTGTTAACAATATTTCCTCGTTCCCATTTTGAAGTCTAATGTGCCACCAAAGAGACATGATAATTATGAAGCTGGCTTTATTCAGTGTTTAATTTTCTCTTCTGAAGCATGCAAAGTAGCACAAATTTAGAGAGAGATGGCCTCGTATGCATATTTAATCACAAAGTGTCTGAAAACTTATACCAAGCACCAAAGAAGGAAAAATGATTCTGATGTCAGGTGTTGAGTTGGGAGGTTTCTAGACTTCCTGCTGCGTCCGCTGTCTTCAAATTGGCATTACTGGAGTGAAACTTAAAGAAGTATTTCAATCAATTATGTTCTTACTGACACAAAATCATTTTGGTTATAAAGTTAGTAAAAAATGCTGTCAAAGCTAGAGAGGGTGATGGTACAGATGTCAAAACTAGTGTTACTTTGTCCTTCTCTCTTTTTTTAACTGGTGATCTTGCTTTTCCTCCCTCCCTCTTTAACTGCAGAGGACAGCTACGTGAGGATGTTCCTCCGCGGCCGTCCCGTCACCATGCACGTCCCAGACCAGCAGAAGGGGACTTACAGCCTTGACCAGAAGGTGGCGCTGCCTGACCATAAGCTCAAACTGCAGTGGGTGTATCCTTGATCCAGACAGAGAGAAATTAAGAAGTACATGAACAGTTTACTTAAAGATTCAGATGGTTTAGATATTTAAAATATCTGATTAATAGACTCAGGCTAGCGTTACTTTATTTTTAGGTTTATTTAGATTTATTCTGCTGTGATTCATACAACATGCAACTCTCTGTGGCTCACCAATCAACCTGTTAGACCATATAAACGTAATGGACGTGACCTCCGGTGTGGGAGTACATTTTTCTAATATAACTAATAACTAATGATCATATCTTCTGTTTTCACAGCTGTTCTGACACATATTTGTCTGTAAGATAAATAATAGGGGTGAAAGCACAAACTGTATCCCTGAAAACCAAGAAATTACAAAAAATAAAAATAAGATTTGGTGTTTCTAAGTTGTCTTAGTAAGAAGCATCAACAAAATATATAAAATAAAATTGCTGAATATTCTGGTAATCCTGTCCAGCATCACCCATCTTCCTTAATCTAAGCGTGGTCCAGTTATGGCTACCGTGGTCGTGACTGCCGCTCCAACCTGTACCTGCTTCCCACGGGAGAGATTGTCTACTTCAATGCTTCAGTGGTGGTGCTGTACAACACAGAGGAGCAGCAGCAGAGACACTACCTGGGCCACAACGATGACGTCAAATGGTGAGAAAACAGCAGGCTGATGAGAGCAGCCATTAAAGTCTTTTATTCTTTACAGAGACTGTGCAATTTCCTGCATCATCTCTGCTTTCCTCATTTACTCTAAGTCTTGTAAACAGATCCCGTTTGATCAAAAGCTGTGTTTAACTAACACACCGTGATATAGATGGTTTTGTTTAAACAGGCTCACTTGATGTTATGTCTTTTCATACAGAAGAACTAACATAACAATCATCATTCAAATGAATAAAAACTAGAGGAAACCTCTTTAAACAGTAAAAATGAAGCTAAAATGAGCAAATCTCCTCCCAAAAGAAATTAAAATGAAAAGAAAATGTAAAAAAGCAAAACTCTATTCGACCCCACACGTGAGACAAAGAGAGAAACGAGCTGCTCAGAAGTTGTTTTTGTTTTTGCGTAACACGTCATCGACAGCTTCTGTGTTTACCATCAGTGAAATTTGTGCTGTACTTAATGAGCACCAGTTGACATCCTGTGCCTGGAGACACTGGGATGTAAACATTAAGGCCCCCTGGGGCATGCTGGGAAAGCTACTCCGCTCTGCAGGGAAACAATCGTGCTCTCCTCTCCCACGCCGTCACGTGGAATCCGCCTCTTCACGTTGTCATTTTTTTTGTGTTTTAGAAATGCAAAATATGATTCACATTGAAATAAATATTGTATATTTGTTTTTATTGACTTGGAAAATGTGAGTCAATCGGTTTGTTTATATGGCTGTTGTTTATACATGTTGAGTGTCTATAACGTGCTTCTGAAAAATACTCGAGATTTCCTGTAAAAGCCAGAGACCAGAGAAAACGGCGTGTGTCACGATAAACATTTTTAAAGGCATCGTGTGAAAGAAGCAGAATGAATGAGAATTAATAATCACAAAGCCACAAATATAATTAATATTTTCTCATATCTTCTTAGCCTGAGTGTGCATCCTGACATGGTTACCATAGCAACAGGACAAGTGGCTGGAAACTCTAAAGATGGAAAGGTACTGCGAGAATCTCCAATCCTGCTGTAGCGTTGTCTCCTAATCACTAAATATGAAACTGAAAGAGCTTTAAAACTTCAAATAAAGTTTTGTTTTTGTTTTTTTTGTGGAAACCAGAAGAAGGTTTGATATGAATCAAACAACTTTACTATGTCTCCTCTTTTTTTTTTGTGTGTGTTTGTTCAGCTGCTGGCTCCCCATGTTCGCGTCTGGGATTCTGTGAGCCTCAACACGCTCCATGTGCTTGGAACGGGAGTGTTCGATAGAGCGGTCACCTGTGTGGCTTTCTCAAAGTCGGTAAGGAGCGTCTCACCCTTTTAGACTAGAGGTGTCAACATCATTCTAGTTCAGGGAATTACACCAATGAATAATGACCTCTAAAGAAAAAGGGGATGAATTTGGAGGTGTTTTATTTTAGTGTAAAGACATATATTCCCCTAAAACTTCACATTTAATCAGCCAACTATTTATGTGTCTCAGTTTTTCTACATTCATCATCTACGTCAGTCGGTGTCATAAATCACAGGCTTAACAACGTTACTTGAGTGTGTTTTGGCAGGCGATGGTTAATGTCTTTGTCAGTAAGAAGCCCGTTAAACTGATGAGTCATAGTTCTGGCTCAGATATAATCAATGCTTTAGTCAGCCAGACTCATGATGTGATCTATATATAACACTGCAAGTGTAATGCTTCCTGCAAAATATAATACAATCCCAATAACTATGCACTTATCCAAATACCCAGTTTTTACACAAGTCGTTCAGGCCCCTTTCTATGTTTTCATGCTTTATTAAGATTTAATCAGTTATTTATTTATTCATTCATTCACCAGAATGGCGGCACCTTCCTTTGCGCTGTGGATGATGCCAACGATCACATCTTGTCAGTCTGGAACTGGCAGAAAGAGAAGCAGCTGGCTGAAGTCAAGGTATGGCCACCTGAGTCTGATCTCATTCATACAGCTGTATCATTATTGATCTCCTGGTTTTAAATTTTTTAGATAACATGCATGGATGAAGGATTTTAATGGTATGTTTTCATGAACGTAGCAAATTGAATGAAACAATAGCTTCCTGGCTTCTGTCCCTGCAGTGCTCCAATGACTCTGTGCTGGCCGCTGTGTTTCATCCCATGGACACCAACCTGATTGTTACCTGTGGAAAATCTCACATCAACTTCTGGACCATGGAGGGGAACACTCTCACCAAGAGACAGGGCCTGTTTGAGGTATCGCAACTATACACAAGTTGTTTGTTCTTAAAACCCTGCTGTATATTTAGTTTTATTTCTTAAGGTGCAGTCTATAACAGCAGTCTTTTCTGTAGTCCTTGAAATCCTTATTTGTCTGGCTTTGTAGAAACACGAGAAACCAAAGTATGTGTTGTGTGTGGCATTCGCTGAGAATGGAGACGCCATCACAGGAGACTCCAGTGGGAACCTCTACATCTGGGCCAAAGGTACGCTCAAAGTGAAAGTTCTGATCCAGCTTTTTTTTTTTTTTTTCTTTTTTGACAAAATTTAGAGATTCAATCGCCAATCACAGAAATCCTGGCTGCTTGAATTAACGAAGGTTTGAACACGTTTATATTCATATATGATTGTTTCAATAAAACAGGAATAACAGAACATAAAATCAAGCATTTGTGGATACAGCTAACAAAAAAGAAAAAAAACGAAGGGAAACACAAAAACTCAGCAAGCCACTGATAATGGGGGGTGGGGCATCTGACATAGATACGGCAGTCTGGATTTTAAATGAAATCATTCATTTATCATTACTGTGAAGCACAAATGTAAAGAGGCAGGATATCTGCTGCTCACTCTCTGATTTCCTGTGTCGTCTGACAGGTGGTACCCGCATCAGCCAGGTGGTGTCAGCGGCGCACGAAGGCGGCATTTTCTCAGTGTGTGTTCTCAAGGACGGCACCATGGTGTCTGGAGGGGGGAAAGACCGCAAGGTGGTGCTGTGGGACCACGATTACAGAAAAAAGGCAACGATGGAGGTGAGCGAATTCTCCTCTGAGGGGAAATCGGAGGTCGTGAAACTTCTGTGGAACCCACTTAAATATTATTTTAAACTTTTCTCAGTTTAGTGATTAAACTGTCAGTGGGTGTCTCTTGTGCTGCAAGTAAATAACTCCAAAAAAAAGTTTTATTACTTAATGTTTTGAATATTGTGCTTTCTTTGACTCTGTGCTGCATGTGTGTGTCCAGGTGGGAGAGTCCTTCGGTCCTGTTCGTGCTCTGGCTGAAGGTAAACCCGGAGAACTCTTTGTTGGAACCACCAAGAATGCAATCATCAGAGCTGCCTTCCCTGATACATTAACGCCTATTGTGCAGGTACACGCTGATAACATTCACAGGCTGACTACTAACAAATATTTTAACTTTATGCATGCTGCATTTTAAATAAGAAATGATATGATGTGCTACAGGGTCACACCGATGAGCTGTGGGGTCTGGACATCCATCCCACCATGGAGCAGTTTGTTACCTGCTCACAGGACAAACAAGTTCACCTCTGGGATGCCCACTCCCACCAGCCCCTGTGGAGCAAGACCATCGAGGTGAGGAAGATTTTTGTGAATGAAGACAGCGTTAGGGACTGAGCTTCCCGTTCAATCACAAGTACTAAATAACAAGTATGTCGTCTTCTCTGTGCTTTAGGATCCAGGGAGGTCTGCAGGCTTCCATCCCAGCGGGGCTGTTCTGGCTGTGGGGACCATGACTGGAAAGTGAGCCTTACAGCTGAAACAAGTTAAAATTCAGAAACTGAGCATTGACAAAACATTCACTAACACTGATCTCCTTTAATGCTGGAGATATTAAAGCCTTCCTATTTGGATCCTTGTGATGTGCATTTTCCCAAATCTCTGCCTTGTGTGTTGCAGGTGGTTGGTGCTGGACACTGACACTCGGGATCTTGTTTCTATGCACACAGATGGCAATGAGATCATTTCCAATGTCAAGTACTCTCCGGGTAAAACATCATCTGCTCACCTCGCTGACACAGATCCATAAAATGTTAAAGTTCAGACAAAATTTCATATTTCAGTTCATTGATTTTCTGCTAACTTCACTTTGTGTCTGCAGACGGTAACTTCCTGGCTGTCGCTTCCCATGATAACTTTGTTTACATCTATGCTGTAACTGAAAACGGCCGAAAGTACAGCCGTGTGGGGAAATGCACTGTAAGTAGATGCTCACATGGAGCGCCAGTTGTAAATGTCTGTTTGTAAATGAATTCCCATTCTTACAGTGATCTCTTTTCATAAAATCAGATCGCTAGTGTCTGAAGGCTTAAGTAGTTTATGGAGGTTGAAAAGTGAATTGATATATTGCTGTTCTTTGGATGAGAATTTCACTCAAAATTAACATCAATAACATTAAAAGAGAGTTTTAACAAAAAATGTTCAATCGTCACTCTGCATGATCTGCCTCTTCCCCAGGGACACTCCAGCTTTGTTACCCATGTGGACTGGTCGAAAAACAGCCAGTACCTTGTCACCAACTCAGGAGACTATGAGATCCTCTTCTGTAAGTCATACTTCATGTCTGTTCATGTGCACTTTTAGCTCCACCCTCTGATTTTACTGTCAATATAGGAATCTGGTAAAATATGAAACTCATATCACTGACATCTCAAAGTTATGTTCATATGTCAAGGAATCTTTTGGGGGGGTTTCTTCGGCTTTTAGGGGAGGCATCCAGTGGTAAACATGTGACCAACATGGACACAGTGCGCAACCTGGAGTGGGCCACCTCCACCTGCACTCTGAGCTTCAACACGTTTGGTAGGTTGATAAAACTTTTTAAATTCATCTATTTTATCACACTAGTATTTTGCAATGTTTGCCTGAAGCAAGCGTAGCTCTCACACAGTCGTTTCTTCTTGCGAATTTGTTTTGATGGAGAAGAGCACGGTGTTTTTATGTGGCCGCAGCTAAAAAAACACGAAGTGACTGAAGATGCTGTTCCACTGTCTTCGTCGCCCTCGTGCTAACTCTGCCGCTGGCGCTTTCTTTTTGGTTTTTTTTGTCTTTTTGTGTCTTGCAGGAATCTGGCCAGATGGAGCAGATGGCACAGACATCAATGCTGCGTGCAGGTCACATGATGGATCCCTGCTGGCCTCTGCTGATGACTTTGGCAAAGTGCACTTGTTCTCCTTCCCCTGCTCTCAACCAAGGGTCAGTCATGTTAACTCACAGTGACAAACACAAAGCACATCAGAGCCGGGGTCTGCGTGTTTGTATGCTCGTGTTGAAATTTGTTCCACTTCGCAGACACGCTTTCAACACTGCCAGAACTATGTAGCTATGGTGTTTGTCTCTCAACTGCATTGTGATTAAGTTTTAATGAACACTGGGGAAACCCAATGAAAGCTCAGCAGAAATAACAGAATACTTTATCATTATCAGGCCTGTAATGTGCACAATGTCTGCCAGGTGTTTATATTGTGCTCACAAACCGTTGCAGGCTGTTAGACACCTTTTTTACAAGTTTTCAGTTAAAGCCTTCTAAACTGGGGCTGTAAACTAAATTGTCCATTAAGACAAACTGGCTGCCATTAGCGCAGAAAATCACAAGCTGTAAAAAGTTACAACATATTTTAAACAGATTTGGAATGAAAATGAGTGTTTAGTGGCTTAAACCAGACAGTTGTGTTTCATGAACAGCTGGTACGAATGTAAAAACCCCACATTATACATTTGTTTTTCATTGCAAATAACCTTCATGATTATTGAAACTTAGAAGGTTCATGAGGTGATTTATGTGACCAAGAAGGTTAACGTTGTTTAAAGAAGATAATTTTCTTCTCCAGTAATTTATATTTGGTATTATTGGTATTGGACCGCTGTTCCTGTAGCTTCCATGCAAATAAATCTAAAGCTGCAATAAGACCCCCTGTCAAGAGGAGAGCATGGATTCGTAGATTAAATAAGTCAGGCTCCTATTGAATCAATGGAGTTGAGGTCGAGATGGGTTGCAAAGTGGCTTGCAGGGGCAGCAGCAGCTCTAGCAAGACTACAGCAGCTGAAATAACTTCCCATATGAGATTGTTCAACTTTATCTGAGTAAGATGTCACTGTGGCTATGATGCACACAAATTTACACATGCATAAACAAGAAAAAGAAAAGGGTTACTATTAACAATGGAGAACTTAAACTCTGTTATTGCTCTTGGACTCTACTAGAGTATCTTTGCTTGAGTCACAGTTCAAAATAAAACGTTTGTATCTTGTACTTGGTTAAGCACCTCAGTTCATCCTGAGTCTGGAAGGATCAGTTTTAGCTCCTCCTTCCTTAGGTCAACTTTCTTATGATTGGCTGCCCCTGACAAAAGGGAAGGTTTAAACTGCAGGTGATTGGGGATTATTATGACTATATTATCATTTGCTCTCCATGACATCTTACAAAGCACAGAGTAGGATGAAACCGAGCATTTAGTGCAGTAATGTATCCACCAGGTTAACAGTGCATATAGTTTATACATCCTTCAAATAAAGAAAACCGTGAAACTTTCATTTAAAATTCCCAAAAGAGCATGTTGTTCACTTTTAATTAATTACTCCTTAACTTTTTTTTTTTGTCCTGCTTTGCTTTGTTATCCAGGCTCCAAGTCAAGAATACGGTGGCCATAGCAGTCACGTGACCAACGTTGCCTTCCTGCACGATGACAGTCACCTGATCTCCACTGGTGGGAAGGACACCAGCATCCTGCAGTGGGTGGTTGCCTAGGCAAAATTATACACCTGCATCTCTGACTTCCACTGGAATCCTGTCTGACCCTCGTCACATCTTCTTCACCTCATCTTTATCCTCGGGCTACCACGGGGCAGCAGCTCCTCTGTGCCTACTGGAATTTAAAAAAGTAAAGAAAAGAAAAAATGCACCACCGTAACTTGAGAAACCCAGAGATGTGACACCAAATGAGTATCACTGGAATAGTTTAAAGTGTACTGCTGTTTCTTATAGACTGTAGAGAAATTACTTGTTGTAATGGAGGAAATTACTAACTTTTACCATTACAAAAAATAAATAAATAAATCAACTACTGCAAATCCACCTCATCTGACAACACAATAAATCTGCAATTTTTCCATTAATACTAACTGGGCCTGAACTTTTTCAACCCTTTAAAGGGAAGTACATCTGTTCTAAATTACAAGCCTGTCAGCAAGGTTAAGATCATGTATACTGCAGTTTGTTAACCATTTTGAATGCATGCAACACAATGAGGGTGAAAGATACAATAAGATTTTAGGGTTTAACATGATGGTATTTTTCAGACGTTGGTTTCCATAAAGTGTACATTTCTTCAAACTTGTTTGGGGTGTATAAACTAACACAATACAAAAAAAAAGGAGGCGTGACACGTTGAACTGAGGTACTTAGATAAATTTTTTCATAACAAATTTAAACCAAATTTTATTTAGTGCTGTAAAATATCCATGATTTGTAATAACAGAATTAAAACATGAACCTTTTAGGAGTGCAAGATCTTTTTTTTCTCCCCCAGGAGTGTGGAGTAGATCCCTGTGAACATGCAGTGATCTTTCCTACACCTGGAAAATCACAGATAAAATTTCAAACTTGTGCAAAGATTAAGTACAGCAACACAATGAAGGTGTGATACTCTAAAACCATAAAGAGTGATAAATATTGGCCTGCATTTGAGCAAATTAATATTGCATTAAATGGGTGAAATCTTCCTTTTAAAATGCTTATAATAACCCCTCTGCCTTCTTCTCTTCACTGTTACATCACTCAGCATTTCCATACTCTTAAGGTGCAGATTGTAAGTATAGTACAGATTGCTGTTGGAGATTGTAAACGGTACAAAGTGTCTGTTTTGTCCCGAGCCTTTTGATTTCTCCTTCTACTGCTGGGCTGTTGTGTTTCTGATTGTACTACTACTGTAAATGTGCTGAGATGGCACTAGATGGCGCTACAGCGCAAGAGAATGAGCATGACTTGGGCTCCCCTCCTGTAGATGTTGTCTAAAAGGTCTTTAGAGTAAATATATATTATGCAGTATATCCGAGTGGCTGTGTTATTTTAATATTTAACTGTAACAACGATGGATGTTAGAATTATTATACTCGTGGCACTTTTAGTGATTGACAGCGAGGTAATGTAGGCTGCTGTGCCATGGAAGCTTGGGCTGTGCTTTGCCTTCTTGTTTTGTTAATAAAGTTTTTACCCAAATGCACATGATGCTTTTTTCCCCCCCCCCCCCTTTATTTCATCAGCCAAAAAGCCGAACATGATGCATTGATGTCAGTGATGTAAATGAATAAAAACTAACAAAATATTCCCAAAAGTATTCACTGATCTGCCTTTGAATGCATATGAACTTGAGTGACATCCCATCTTGAATCCACAGGGTTTAATATAGCAGCTTCAACTCTTCTGTGAATCTCCAGAAGTGCATTTTATTCCTACAGAAGCACTTCTGTGAAGACGGCTATTGATGCGGACACATCAAACATGTCTCCGCTCCAGTGGTGGTGTGCTTTACACCGCTGCATCCTACGCTTTGCATTGCACTTGGTGATGTAAGGCTTGGATGCAGAGCCGTTCCGTGAAGCTCTCTACCCACTGTACTTGAGCTAATTTGAAGGCCACATGAAGTTTAGAAGTCTATAGCGATTAACTCTCCAGAAAGTTGCAGACCTCCGTGATTTTACATTGCCTACCACAGCTGAGTCGCTGGAATTCTCAATCACTTTGTTAAAATACCGCTAACAGTGGAATATTCAGCAGTGAGGAAAGTTCACGACTGGACTTGTTGCACAGGTGGCATCCTGTCACGGTATCACGCTGAATTAAATGTGCTCCTTCTTCCTGATGCTGCTCTCTGCTAAGATTGCCACATCTGTCACAACTGTGGTCTTCTGTTCCTTTTCAGCCACCACTATGTGTGGTTGGTTGGCCAACAGATGCTTGTCTGTCTGGAATGAAGGTCCTTGTTGTTCTCAACCACCTTTGGGGGCGTCTTCCATCGGGACTAGGGTACTTAGTAGTCCATATGTGGCACAGATGTTCATGTGCACTATCCCAGTCACTTGGTTGTGCCTCTGTGTCAATTAGTGTTCACATAAACAAGCAACTAAATGCAACACATTACTCACCAAGCTCATGATATCAGATTTACATACATTTTCATATGATTAATAACAGATGGAAAATATTTGACATGAATACTGGGATAGTTGAGAGGAATTCTAGGAATCCGCAATCAGTGGTAATCAGTGATGGTTATTTGCAACAACACTTCCAACATTGTTATGATGTACAGCAGCAATTCTGCAGTTTTTTACTTTAAAAAGCATGAAATGGAAACCCAAAGAAGATGATTCCAGTGTTTATCCAAAGAACAGCAGAATGCAATAAGCATAGTGACGTGACACTGCACTGGTGTTGTCATGACGGTCAAGTTTACCTATATCCAATGTTCCCTTCGTAAGAAGAAACAGGGCACGGTTTATCAAACAGGCCCCAACTGCTGCTGGCACAAACGTACTGTCCTCTTATGAAAAGTGCAGACTCCTTCCTCCATTTCCATTTCCATGTGGCCTAATGCAATCTTCTCTCACAAGGGTTCTAAAAAAAATAGTTTAATCTCATTAGAAAACCCAGTCAGCATAGAGAACTCATGGTACTCTTTTCTGTGCTGGTAGGTTCCTAATCTTTATTTTTTTGTGGGTATGCATTTTCATTTGACTATTTTTACGTGTTTAAGGGTTTGTTTGTTTGTTTTGTGTATTTGCATTTGATTGTTTTTAGTTTTTCTCTTGTCTTAGATGTTATTAACTTGAGCCCCACTTTTCCCTACCAACTGTTGCCCAGTAGGTGAGAATGCAACCGGTCTTGAGAGATTTATATTTTTATCAAGTCTTGTTTAAATTCCTTCTTTTATTGGATATGTGGGACATATAAATATATAAATAGGGTCATAAAACTTCAGAGTTAAGATAGTGAGTTTAATTGCACCAGCAAAAGAATTAAATTTGGGCAGTTAGATAAAATCAACAGAAGTTACAGTAGTTTGTATACAGTCCTTTGATATACAACGTTTTTGCAGAAGTCTATACTCTGTACTGAAAAAAAAAAATAAAAATATGCCCATAGAGGGAAAGTAGCAGCCAGGTACTACTAATGAAATGCACAAGATTCACTGATGATCAGCAAGTGTCACCACCTCTGTGTGTTAACGCAATGCCATGATCCCAACAATTTCACCCCAAGGTCAGACCGTGCAATTCTCAGAGAATATTGCAAAAGCCCAAGAGCTCCATCGGAGACTCTCCAGGCCTTAGTTACCATGCTAAAGGTCATGATTGTAGTGATTTACACATTCACTAAGCAAGTGAAAGGCTGCTGTTTTGGAGAGACAAATCCCTTTGGTGTTCAGGCAACGGCTGAAAGTGAGCATTATTTTTTTATGATAGTAGAATAATTAGAAAATGCTCTGAGCAAGCCATTTGACTTGCTTGTGAGGAGGAAGCCTCTTCTCTCTGAAGAAAGCATGAGAGCATGACTAAGACTGCAAAGGTGCATCTGAAGAAACCACAAGATTTCTGGAACAATGTCCTTTGGACAAGGTAGAAATGTTTAGCCAAAATATGCAGTGAGACAAAAAATAGAACATATCAGCTCTGTTTGTCAGGTCATATCAGTATGCTGGTAGTAGATATCAGCACAAACATCTCATACCAGCTGACAGCACGGTGGTGGAGGGGTGATGATTTGAGTTTGTTATGCAGCCACAGGACCTTAGCCGGTTGCATTAGACTGTAGCAGCGGACCATGAACTCCTCAGTATCCTAGTATTTTAGAATCAAACACAAGTCTTTCTGGCTGAAATGTTATTGTGACCCCTGAGGACACGAGTGCATAAATAAGTGTTTGAAAACATCCAGAATAATGTGAGAGTCTGATAAATTTATCCTTGAAATTGTTAATTTAAGTTATTGCTGCTGGACTACAGAATCGTGACGTATACTTACAGTATACGATATAGTATAAGTATATCTGATGTGTCCTACATGAACATAACAGCTGACCTTATGCATTACTGAGGGCATTCACAAGATATATGCAACATATACCCAGCTCTACCCGATTAAATACAATAACACTTATGTTTCTATTTATATTTGTAGTTTATATTTGTTTTCATAACTCAACTGTGATATGACAACAAATATAATGAAATCATGAGGCCAAATGATCATGTGATGACTGTGATTTTAACCAGAAGGGTTCAAATAAGCTCAAGAACTGCAGGAATACATCCTCTCAGTCCTGCATAAAGCATTTATTAAATCAGCTTTTGGCTTTGCATCGGACCTGAACGTCACTCGCAAAAGTGAAAATCTTCTAATTAATTTATTTCACTATCACATTGTATTTCCTGCGTGCTCTTTAGTCTTTATACAACACAAACTACTCTTCCGATCTGGTCTGAGGACCTTTGATTGTCAAAGATCCCTATCACCAGCAACACTTTAGTTAAAACCACTTGAATTGCAGTCTTGAATGAGTATTATAGATTTCTTTTTTCCAATTACACTAAACAGCATTTTGCCTGCCCCAGCTTTAATGCTACTGTAGAGAAATACTGGTGTGGACAAAGTGATTACAAAGTGAACTTTAGAAGCTGCAGAAAAAAAATCAATGAAAGTCAGAAGCAGACACAAACTAATGACAGAATTAGCTTTTTGTAGCATGACTCGTGTAAAGACCCGTGAGCTGAAAATAGTTCCGTTTGAAACCAAATACTTAGAAAGCCTGTCTTAACTCAGCAAAATCATAAAATGATTGAATAGAAAATACTGATACAGAGTTATTCATGTTGTTATTTTTCTTTTTTAGACTTATTCTCTTATATCCTTCTATAGAAAAACACTTTCACATGATCTTCTGTATTATTGATAGGGTACAATGTAAAGCGCCTTGAGGAAACTGTAGTTGTGATTTGGCACTATATAAATAAAACTAAACTGAATTCTGTAAACAAAGTAAAGCGTAACAGGTTAGCATCCTTACAGTCACTGATAACAGATCATCTTTTTATCTCCGGATCACCGAGGCCTGCTTTCTCATGATCAATCTGTGAGTATTTACTGTTCTGGTGGGTTCATCTAAAAATGGCATTAGATTCTCTGAAAACATTCAATTTTCTGGAGGGGCTGTAGCAGTAGGTGGTGGAGGTATTATTGATGTATGATTCATGGTTGGGGATGATTCATCGCTAATTCAGTTTTATTAAGATACCAGCAAGTGTTTAATTCTTGCTGAGCTCCCTCGACGGGGGACGCACATTTCCCATACGTAGAAAGGATGAGACCGAGACATACAAGACCCTAAATGTTAACATAATAAACATCGACGTGTAGGAGGAGGGGGCATGGAAGAGACAGGAATGCTTGGGCTTATTAGACACATTCGAAGATGGAAGATAAAATATTCCAAGTGTTTTAGTAAGCTTCTTGTAGTTTACTTTGGGTCTGTACTCAAGGACGGTCGTGCATAATACAGGAAGAAACTGGAGCTACATGAATATGCATATCTGTTTACTTTAAATCCTTCCCACAGTGCAGTGCTAATGCTAATTCTGTGTTGACCGATCGGACCATGAAAAACTGTCTGTAAAGACATAATGTTTGCCCATTAACTGATTCATTATGCTTTCACGGCACATTACTATGAACTGGCTGATGTATGTGAGTGTAAATAATTCACAGATGAACTGCACTGTCTTTCAAATGTGTCTTACTGATTAAAATAATTATTTTTAGTAATACATCAATCTTATCACTTGGCCCACCTGTGGAGGGTTCATGTGTTTTATGTGCAGCAGCAGCAGCAGCATCTGACAGACTCAAAGCTACAAAGTGCTCTGGATGTGGATTTCATCCCAAAGTCATTTGTGTGGGATACACAGCCAATGTCATTTTATACATACCACATGTCCTCCAGAGGTTTAGAGAGCGAGAAAGCTGGACCCAGATGTGCTATACAGAGACTGGCTGTGACCAACATCAGTTTCATCTTAGACACACTCTGATGTAAGGGTCTGAAGATGTTCAGCTCTTGTGGATGAAAGAGACAAACAGAGATGAGGGTTATACAGGGAGTGCAGAATTATTAGGCAAATGAGTATTTTGTCCACATCATCCTCTTCATGCATGTTGTCTTACTCCAAGCTGTATAGGCTCGAAAGCCTACTACCAATTAAGCATATTAGGTGATGTGCATCTCTGTAATGAGAAGGGGTGTGGTCTAATGACATCAACACCCTATATCAGGTGTGCATAATTATTAGGCAACTTCCTTTCCTTTGGCAAAATGGGTCAAAAGAAGGACTTGACAGGCTCAGAAAAGTCAAAAATAGTGAGATATCTTGCAGAGGGATGCAGCAGTCTCAAAATTGCAAAGCTTCTGAAGCGTGATCATCGAACAATCAAGCGTTTCATTCAAAATAGTCAACAGGGTCGCAAGAAGCGTGTGGAAAAACCAAGGCGCAAAATAACTGCCCATGAACTGAGAAAAGTCAAGCGTGCAGCTGCCAAGATGCCACTTGCCACCAGTTTGGCCATATTTCAGAGCTGCAACATCACTGGAGTGCCCAAAAGCACAAGGTGTGCAATACTCAGAGACATGGCCAAGGTAAGAAAGGCTGAAAGACGACCACCACTGAACAAGACACACAAGCTGAAACGTCAAGACTGGGCCAAGAAACATCTCAAGACTGTTTTTCTAAGGTTTTATGGACTGATGAAATGAGAGTGAGTCTTGATGGGCCAGATGGATGGGCCCGTGGCTGGATTGGTAAAGGGCAGAGAGCTCCAGTCCGACTCAGACGCCAGCAAGGTGGAGGTGGAGTACTGGTTTGGGCTGGTATCATCAAAGATGAGCTTGTGGGGCCTTTTCGGGTTGAGGATGGAGTCAAGCTCAACTCCCAGTCCTACTGCCAGTTTCTGGAAGACACCTTCTTCAAGCAGTGGTACAGGAAGAAGTCTGCATCCTTCAAGAAAAACATGATTTTCATGCAGGACAATGCTCCATCACACGCGTCCAAGTACTCCACAGCGTGGCTGGCAAGAAAGGGTATAAAAGAAGAAAAACTAATGACATGGCCTCCTTGTTCACCTGATCTGAACCCCATTGAGAACCTGTGGTCCATCATCAAATCTATTTCAAGGAGTAAACAAATCAAATCACTTTTATTGTCACATCGCATGTGCAGGCACACTGGCACAGCACATGCGAGTGAAATTCTTGTGTGCGAGCCCACAAGCAACAGAAATGTGCAAACACAACAACACAAACCAGCAAATACAAGAATGGCTACATCTGAAACTAATAAATATATGTACAATATATAATAGTGTATGCATTTCTGGATGTGTATACTAAACATTTTCCTGTGTGTGTGTGTGTGTGTGTGTGTGTGTGTGTGTGTGTGTGTGTGTGTGTGTGTGTGTGTGTGTATACACATTTTACAAATTAAATAGTAAAAAAATAAAATAATAAATGAAATATATAAAAATATACAGAGTTGAATATGTGAAAACAAGACATGGCATTTACTATGAACCATGGATGTGGAGTCATAAATGTGAGATGTTCAGTAGGTGAAACAGTACACCTCTCTGAACAGTGTCTGGGAGGCTGTGGTTGCTGCTGCACGCAATGTTGATGGTGAACAGATCAAAACACTGACAGAATCCATGGATGGCAGGCTTTTGAGTGTCCTTGCAAAGAAAGGTGGCTATATTGGTCGCTGATTTGTTTTTGTTTTGTTTTTGAATGTCAGAAATGTATATTTGTGAATGTGGAGATGTTATATTGGTTTCACTGGTAAAAATAAATAATTGAAATGGGTATATATTTGTTTTTTGTTAAGTTGCCTAATAATTATGCACAGTAATAGTCACCTGCACACACAGATATCCCCCTAAAATAGCTAAAACTAAAAACAAACTAAAAACTACTTCCAAAAACATTCAGCTTTGATATTAATGAGTTTTTTGGGTTCATTGAGAACATGGTTGTTGTTCAATAATAAAATTATTCCTCAAAAATACAACTTGCCTAATAATTCTGCACTCCCTGTATGTACGTTCTTAATCAATGCGCATGCTTCAAGATACTCATGCTGATTGTGTTTCCCACTGACACCTCGTCTGTGACACAGGAGGTAGAACAGGTCATCTACTAACTGCAAGGTTGGTGGTTCGTTTTTTGGCTGGCCAAAATAGTCTGAGCCTTGAGTTTCTTTAGATGGAGTTATCAGCAAGTGTGAATGCCTGAATAACGCTCTTGTAGAATAGAAAAGCACTCCATAAGAACCAGCCTGTTTACCATTTGGGTTTCAAACCTGGGGTGAGCATATTGAATGGTCCAAATTTTGGTTTGCGAAACAGAATTGATCCTGTGTAGGTGCCCTGTACTGGAAAATGTGCAGTGAAATTGTTGACAGCAAACATCAAAAATAGAAAATGACAGACTGCACACAAATAAACTCCAGGGGCCTTCTCTGCTTCAGTGAAACTTGAGTCATTAATTTCCTTAAAAGGCCGATTCAGTTCATGAGCACAAAATAAGGTTAGGTCTCAATGTCTTCCTTAAGGTCACCTTTGGTTTGTGTCCTCTGGTGTCCTTTGAGGTAAGGGCTGAAAACTGGAGTTGGTTGGCAGCTGCTTCCTGTTTTCTTAAAGTGGCAGAAGATGTGAGTGTGAATGGTTATCTCTGTTGCCCAGTCACAGAATGACAACATGTTGAGGGTGTAACTGACCAAAACAGATAGGCACACACCCTCTGTGACGGCAGTTGGATAAAATATTTGAGGAAATTAGGAAAATGGTCGTATTGCATGGCTGCAGTTTAGCCGTAGGAGACAGAGCCATCTGTGTCTCGTGACAAACACTGAGAGACTAGCACAACTATAGAGACATGGGCTGCAATTTATTGATTTTCAGTCTGGTCTGGTTGGCCTTTCCTTCACTGTGACAGCAGAACAACGGAGAGGTTGAATGGAGAGTGGGGTTTAATCCAACTATACCACTGGTGTCTGTCTGCTGGGACCAACAGAGCAACAATATACTTAAATTAGGACAAAAAAGTGGAGCAGACTGACCTCGAGACAAAACTGCAGAAACCAACAATCACTTAATCATCTGACATCACAAAACTAATTCATCCAAACAAAATGTAAGTTTTGCACCACTTTACACCCACACTGTTGGGTCTGAGGAACAACTGTGAAGGAGTTACTTAGAAGAAATAAGTCACGCAAAAACATGAAAAATGTGACACTTTTCTGATGGGAAACAAGTCGTGAGAACAGAGAATAGACGGAGCCGTTCTCAGAGACCCTACAAAATGACACAGGATGGAAGATTCTGACAGTCTGGGGTCTCGTCCGCAAATGATACAACCCTGAGGCTACAACACTTGCACACATACAGACACACATGCGGACCATTTCAGTAAAACTACACTGACTCACAGTTCCCGATCACTTACACAAACCCTAAATAGATCATCACCTCCATGTTATTTCTTCTTTCGTGTCCTCTTCCTGTTTTAGTTGCACATGTTTTTACTGGGAGATTTCACAATTTATACCAGAGAATTAAACGCCTGGAGAGACGCATTCTTATAGTATTCGTTTCCTATAGTCATTACAGAGTAAAATCTGCATTTACTTCATGTGATTATCGGGGGGAGTCAAGACAATGTGGGTGGAAGTTGACTAAAAACATTCCAAGGACTTCTAAAAATATTTTGATTTTTTTGCATGAAACTGTAAGTACTAAATCACATATCACTTACTGGAAGCTTTTTAGCCGCTCACACGCTGAACTCTTGCACCGCTCGACTGTTTACCATCCGTGGATCTGTTCCGGTTTAGTTACTGGAGGGTCTGCCAAGATGCTGTGTTTGGCCTTATCAAAACATCAATTAATATTCCAGACACAAAACAATAACGGACACAGACTGAGCAGGAGGGTGTCAGATAATCAAAACATGATAAAAGTGACATAATATGTCATAAAATTAGCGCATGAAATGTTGGTGTGTGTTCAAATACTGACATGCTCTTTCAATTTGTCTACTGCATCGTTTAGGAGGAGCAACGTTACCCATCTTCACCTCAAGAAACTGTTCTTCACAAGGACGAGAGCAGGTAGTTGTGTTTGAAAGAGGCAGAGGGATAAATCTAAGGAGCGAGGAGGAGAAGACATAATGGAGCTGGGAAGAGGAAGAGCTCATGGAGAAGGCCGATAATGCAGAGCATATCGAGCTCTCCATTCTTTACCACCGGGGTGTCTGAGCTGCTGCCGACAGCCTGTTGAGCAGTGTGTTGATGTATGGGGTGTTGCTTAATAACAGCAGTCTGTCTGCTGGTCAACCCACAGAGCGGAAAAAACCGGCAGGAGTCATTTTATGTACTGTAGGATTCAAGTGGCTGCATAAAAGAGTCACGCAGCACTTGTCTTCTATTCTAACTACTATGTACTGTAAGCATCTGTACAGCTTTATGGCTGCAGGGACAGATTGCACGTAATCCTCGATTAATACCGTTTTGTTGTCATGTAGAATTAGTAGATTTTTTTCAGTACTTTGTTGTTGTGAAAGGCAAACAGAGCACAGAGCACAGGCAGGTTTGACATGAAAATAGCTCCAAAACATCAAATACTTTTCAATAGGATGTAATATGTTAGTCAAAGCAGGAGTTTGGAGGTCAGGTCTGCTTGAGCTTGAGCTGTGTGAACCTAAACAAGAACTAAACACACACAAAAAAACATAGTTAGCATTTTCCAGCAATGCATTTACATTTATTTTGCACGAAGCCTTAAAGCTTCAAAGAGATCCAGACTTACTGTGCAGCTTTGGTACTGAGTTTTGCATTATAATTAATACAAACATTGCATGTTAATATGCTCACATACTGTCTCTCAAGTCCTGTTCTTCCATAAATGCATTCATGCCCTCAATTGTCACCATGATGACAATGATGTGGAGAGGGCCTCATTGTGATTCATTGTGTAGCTAACAGACAAATTTTTTTAAGACATTTCAGGTAAAACCACACATCATCTTTGTTGTGCTGTTAGCGGTAATGCATTTTAAGCTGGCATCTTCACTGCAGGAATTTAGAATAATAAGTGGTCAGATGTTTAGGGTTCAAAAAGTGCTGTAGATAGCACAACGACACAGTCAAACCAGAATGTGGCACTCACACTTTCTTTTGGTTAAGGTTCCAGACTATAGAAGCCTCAAAAATGTCTGTCACATTTCATGCCACTCCAACTCATTAAGATATTTTCAGTCGGGTCAAAGTTTGCCATGATCAGTCAACTGACTCCATTTCCTCTATATGTAACATGGGCCAAAGTGGTAGACTCAAATTTCCCACTCAAATATATGGCTATTCCAGGGCTGCAGATGAATATGCTGTATTACAGAAGAGTTTGGTTCCAGGCTCACCCACCTCACTGAAAATACACCAAGTTTTCCTGAAAAATGCTGTGGACTGGCCCCAGATGAAGAGGAAGCTTTAATCTCTGCAGGGTGTTTATTTTGTCTGTGTTTCATGGTGATCTGGATCCACTCCAGTGTTTGGGAGACTCCACCTGTCTCAACAGAGCTGGTACTGCTCAAGGGTGTGACACATGTGGAGAAACTAAAGTACATGCTGATGTGAGCACTTTAGATAACATAATGCCACGACAAAAGCACACAAAGTTGGGAAGGGAATGTTCAACCGGCACAGTTTAGCAGGGAACATTACTCATACAATGGAAGATAGTTGTGGAGAAAAGATTCAGTCCTCTTATTAATCTGCAACGTCACTAATCTTGTGACGTTATAAATAAAACGAAATAAAAGCTGCAAACATTGTCCAAAAGATTTTTTGGCCTTCTCAGTTTCAAAATGCAGTTTATGTGAAAACACGATTCAACAATAGTGATTATTTAACATTTTTACAGTGGATGAAACAGCTGCTTATTGGGGTCAGACTGAGAAAACAGTGGCCAAAAAAAAAAGGAAACAAAAAAAACTCTTTTCAAAAACAAAACGCTGTTATATCAGAGGAATTGCCAGAGTAGTTTTAAAACTGCCTAAATTCACAGAACAGCACAAAGGTGGAAAGCTGCAGTGTACCTCTGACCAAGAAGGAAAGTCCATCAGACTCTCAGTTTGAGGAATAGACATCTCACAGTTCCACCGCCGCCAGCTTCATTATATAAATGCAATCCATAAGAGCCATATTCTGCTAGATTGTGAAGGAAGTAGTACACTGTAGTAGTAGTACAATAGTACAATAAAGTAGTACAATAAAGAACCTTGAACCCTTGAACCTTGAACCACTGTTGCATGAAATCTTCAGTTTTTAGTCATTTTTATCCACAGTCAGCTGCCATATTTTTCGGACCATAAGGGGCACCAGATTATAAGACGCACTTTCGATGAACGGGTCTGTTTTCATACATAGGGTACCCTGGATTATAAGGCGCATTAAATCAAGAAAAACAGTCAGATAAGTCAAACTTTACTCAACTCATTCTTCTTGCCTCTTCTACTTCCGTACCATTGATTCATTAATGTTGAATTCTCTAGCAGCTGCTCTATCCCCATGTTGTTGCAGTATATTAATGAGTAACCTCGTATCGTGGATGGATTATCTCAGTTGTTCTTCTGACTGAGGTTTGGTCTCTTTACAGCATCCTGCCATGCGATTGCATTTGTCCCTAACCATCGGGAACCCTCATGTTAACTTTTATTGTGTGGAAAAAGTTAGCATTAATCCTCCAGCTTCACTGTGTTTATGTTATGCTAACATAGCTGTGTTGCTAGCGATCACATAGGATAACGTTATATAGCAGCTAGCACAACTTCAGTAACCCTACAAAAGTCACTGCTGTTTAGTTTTCTGTCTTCATTCATGTTAGAAGTGATAGCAGAGATGTACGTTTTATTTTTTTCAGAAATCTCTCAGTCAGAACATGCTATATCATGTTTAGGTGGAAACTAGCGAAAGTATATATATAGATGTATTATATATAAGAGACAAATATTGTTCTTTTAATATGTTGGCATTACTAAATTTGGCTCAATGCTTACATATATGTGTAAAAAGAAAATGTACGAGCTGTGAAAACTGTTTCTGATAAAATGAAGAGTAGACTGATATATGAAATATTCCTTTATTGGGTGAGAAAATCAGACCATGTCATAACTGCTTTAAGTCATACAGAATAGATATCAGAGCCTTAAACAGGCTGACTTCTGTTAAATGGGTCAAACTGGGCAGAAAGTCTACAAACACATAACATCCTTATAGAATATGATGTAACACTATAGATCAACTTACCTCAGAATATATAAAGCATATAAACAATTACAGCAATATGATGCAACAAACACAGCAGTGCTACTAATCCAAAATACTCAAAGCTTCATAGAACTGAAACAAACATTTATTTTTAGCTCCATTCTGCTGCTGATACATACTTTAGGTTTCTGAATATTACACTTGTTGCTGCCTTTCATAGTGTGTAACTTGAAGGCCCTGAGTACTTTCTCCCACACTGAAAACACTGGAATGATAAAATTATTTGAACATTACCTAATAAGACTGATTCAGGACAGACAGTTATGTTAAACTTTCCTAGCAGTCCTTCACAAACAGGGAACAGTCTGTCTATTCTCTCCATCTGTCAGCTGCTGCTGGCTCTTCCTCCTCCTCTTCCTCACACACTGTTGAGTTCGGTGGATCATCAGGGGTGCAAAGCCTCACAGATGATGTGCAGCAGTGGGT